CAGTGACAGGCAAACTACTTTGTATCGTACTCGTGATTCTTGAAATAATACCCTGGGATAGATTCAAAAATTCCCGTTTTAAAAATGAACATATGTGACCCATTATTTACATCTGCTATACTATTTTGTCCATTCAACAATAGATACAGACCAATGGCATCAACACATTGTGTTACACAGTATAGCAAATGTTAGTGGCACAATCATAGTGTGGTGAAAGTAACCGGGAAACCAGATCACCTGTATGCTGGCTAACGTCAAATCGCGGTTAAACCACGTCGCATATCACGGAAATCCCACTCACCACAGCGGTGAAGATATGAAATTAACTCTAAGCTCTGAAACGCTTTGAAGTTTGGATTAAATAATTTACCACCAACCTTTTTTAAAGACGGTAGAGAAGTTCTCATGAGAGTGCACCAAACTGCTGTATGAAACTGCTTGCTGAGTTACGGAGTATCGGAGGAGTATATTTCGATCTTAGAAGCACTTTACAGACAGGTCCCGGGAAAGCTTAAGACCTAACTCGGAAAGCCTCATTATGATCGAGGTGGGTGTCTGGAGAAGCGGCTGTTCATCCTTCCCATGCATCTCACGAAATGCTCCCATACGACCAAGGGCTCAAATAGCCTCTGCTGAGGAAGCCCTACTCTCTACCTTCTCGTGGTGGTGTTTTCCCACTAAAGTGAGAGGATGAAAAGCCAACCGGATTTATGGACCACTGGCGGTTCACCTAGGGCTGGCCGAAACTCTGATTTCAAACCAACCAAGAGGAGGCGTACGAACCACACCCACCTTTCCGACTGTGGCAGTGGTCACCGGCTCGATTGGGCATCGAGGTGTTTTGGGCATCTTGGACCTTTGCCCCCGTCCGAAGGGCGTACGATCTGATAAACTGGACATCAGCCCCCAACGGATTGCAGATTTCACACACTGCCCCACTGCCTTGTGGGTCAGGCTTTGGCTAGCCGAAGGCTCTGGTTGTGTGTTCCTCAAGAAAATTCACCTACCTTGACATGGGCAACCTAGCAGTTTTCAGCTCTCATGCAAATTATGGAAAGTTTCCTTTTTATAAACATTATTGCACCATGATTTGCTTGGCACACAGTCTCACCTCAGCCTAGTGTGAAATATAATAATGATAATACCGCAACAAATAAGCAGTCATGAATAAACAGCGGCGGCACTACCAGGGTGTGATGGGCTTCAAGCTGGTCACCTGGTTCCTGTTTAAAAGCCGCAATGACGGTGTCGTGACAGAGGTCGATTTGACTGGCCTCTTAAATCTAAAGTCATTGACCCTCTCACTTCCGAGGCGAGAGGTACGCCCTCAAAGTAAAAAAAACGAAAGGGTGACGCTGGGGACGTCTCTCATACCAAACTCCCAAGGAACTCCATGATCATGTCGGAGTCGGCTTATCCTTTCCAAGGAGCCAATCGCAGTAAAGTATGCAGGTAAAATAATGGTCGGAACACATCAAGGATCTCCTATTCAGGTTTCTCGTACACTTGAAGGAATACGGCCAAGTGTCATCCTCACGTTTATCCTGTTACCTCCTGATTAAGTTTTTTATTTCTATTTTCCTTTACTTCCTGTAATGCTCTATCGATTTTACTGGGAAGCAGCAACCAAAATTCACAACACGCAAATTATGCCAGTGACCTGTACCGTATTTTTTTGTGTGGGACGGGAGTTATCGAGGTTGGAACTGTACTTTAGTGATAGACAGGTTCGCTATTGTCTGCCTTGATGCCACACACACATCCCACGCTGGAGCCTTATTCGGTTCGGTTCTTAGACTGTACTTTTCACAATCGAATAGTACTCGTTGCTGTTCACTAATTGTTTTTTACGCCAGGGCATGTAAAACCCACCAAAATTACTATACTTCCTCTGATTCGAACGGGTTGGTTAGCTGATTAGTTGTTTTTTTTGTGTCGGGCGGAAATAACGCATCGTAACTATTTTTCGGTCTTGAATAAACAATATTGTCAAGTAAAGATGATGTGGGAGAATCAACCAGTTGTTTTTTTTTTTAATTAGAGGTTACTAAGTATCACATTATTTACTGTCGCGCTGAATCCTTTTCTAGATTGTAATCTAAGAGCATGTACTGCACGGAGCTCGATTCCGGTTCGCTTTATTCACAAACGAGCATGTTTTCATTCGTCATTACTGGCCATATTTTAACAATCTGTCTCTCATTAAAACTAGATATTCTCTGGCTTCCCTTGGTGACCTTGTCTCAAGCCCTCTGGGCTTGCCAACTTGCTGAATCATCCGGTCTGTAATCTCCTTGCGCACACTTTATCACCGAGCTTATTTGTATTCCCCTCGGTGAATCACCAACTTACGTCCCTTCTCGACTAGCAAATGCACGTGCTAATCTGCGTGACTGTTCTCCGTAGTCATTTTGTTTGTTTGTCTGTCGATCAGTCAGTCAGTCACTCACACCATCAGTTTGTTTGGCTGGCGCATTTTCGTGCCCCGTCCTAGTTCTAATCGCGCTCCCCGCACATACTGGCAGACACTGTACAACTGTCAGATCGTGTCATTGTCCATCGTTGTCTCTCTCTCTCTCTCTCTCTCTCGGTTTTACATCGGTTGACTGGTGAATGACGTCCTTGGACTGTCTGTCTGTCCTGTCCTGTCACTGCCATAACTCCCCCATAGTGTCTGTTCACTCAATCCAGTCTTCAACCTGATTTTGGCCGGCACCTGCCCGACCAGCCCATTCACGTCTTCTCCTATTCTTTTCGATCCTTCACGTTGAGTTGAGTCTTTCCCCTCTGTCGCCCTTACTCATTCACTCACAGACACACAGACAAACCTACGCCATCCACTCTGTGCCAACGGGGTCCATTGAATTGGACAAAGGCGAGTATCACGATGAAATTGCATTTCATCGCTCATTCATCTGTGTGTGTGTGTGTGTGTGTGTGTGTG